CTTTTTAACAAATGCAGGACATCCTGAATTTGCCCTTTTCTTACATTTCAAGAAATTTCCTTCTGCAGCAGAAGTAATAGAGGTGTTGAAGTTGCTCTGAGGGTTTAAACATACCCATTCAGTATTTTATACTGGAAAAGATGCTATTTTAGTGAACCTAAGAGTTAGGATGAGGTTGAGAGCTCTCCTGTGCCTTTGCAGGTAGAAAGATGAATGCTTCCTCTGGAGCTGTGAGAGCTGAGAGAGTTTCTGAAGAGAAACCACTGGTGAGATTCTTGTTGCTTTTCAGCTGCTGGCAGCTGCTCATCCTCACAGAAAATACAGGACTGGGGTCTTGCAGTGAAGGTTTAGAGCCCACACACAGTAATCTCTTTTCCAGAGCACCTACTGTCCTCTGTAATTTGTGTTTGGGAAACTAAAGCTTGCCAATGTGCCATGATTTAAAGATTTCTTCCTCCTAAAAGGAAAGCATTTGCAAATGAAAGCAAGCCTTGATGTCCACACAGGGATTTGAAATGCTCAGCAGGTATTCCAAAAAGAGAAAATCTGAAAGAATCGAGACTAGAGGAGGAGAGACAACACAATAACACCAAGAGGGAGAAAGAATAACTGACAATTTTTCTTGCACAAATCCAGATATATTATTTTATCAACATGTTACATATACTTGAAATATGTTTAGACTCTCATTGTACTCAAGAAATATAAAGATGCCATTTATAGTGTAATTTACAGTAGGCCTTAAAGCAACTAAACTACCATTTTTGTTCAGCTGGACAGGTCTAGAAATACACAGATCCTAACAGGTTGAGAAAAAATTAGGAGAGTTTATTCATCATAGTGTCTGATTCTGCCTTTTTCAACAATACCAGTTTTAAAGGCATAAATTATCAGTATTTTAAATTAATTTCTCTGAACTACTGCTTATCAGAAGCAGAAATCAAATACATAATCTAATAGCTAAGCATGGCTTAATTACTGAATTCACCAGGACTTCTGTCACACCTTGTACACCTACACCTTGTAGGTGTACTGTACCCACTAATGTGGTAGGGAATCGTTCTTTCAGAAATGGTTTTTCTCACCTCAAGGCTACAGAAGTGATGCACTGCATTTCCAGTGTACCTGAAATATGTGAAGGCACACCCGAGGTGAGACAGGGAAAATCATGTGGCACTCAGAATTCTGAGATTACTTACAAGATAACACTTAATGTTTCTATTACAAAAGGCACATTAGAAGCCAGCTATTTCCAAAATGGGCTTCCACGAAATCCATTCAAGTGTCCACTCTCAGGTCCTGAAGTACACAGACATTAAGTGAAATAAGTGATATGAGAGTCATTACTTTCACACTGACCTGGGGATTAATCATTTCATCTTCCTCTCTCCTCAGCTGGTGGAATTGCCTGGGAAACAACCTGAACTCTCAGTGACCTTTGCTAACCAAACAACACATCCTCAGTGGTTTGCAGCAAAGTAACTACTCAGACCTTGAACCGAGATAGTTTGGACAGCACAAAGAGCTCTACCAACTGCATTTCTCTCTCAGTTAGCATGCTGTGAAAAGTTTTGGTTAGCACAAGCTTCCCCAGCTTTTCTTTCAACTTTTAGTAAACTTCTAATGAACTCACAGGCCCAACCAGGGAAAAGCAGCCACAGGAAACGAGGGAGACAAATAACAGCATCTCTTCCATCATCCTAATTAGCAACAGTGCTGCATCTAAGGTGGAATTTGTTAAGCTCTTACCCTCCCTGTTTACAAATTTAAGCAAAAGGCAAGGGGAGAAAAAAACCCAGAGCCTGTCACATTACTGTAAAAAAAGAGACTGCTAGCACTCAAATAGTTGTTTATCAAAGGCTATTTAGTCTATTTAATTGCCAGCCCCAAAGAAAAAGGAAAAAAAAAGAAAGAGCTTGCCGGATTTCCATTATTTATTATATGTGGAGTGACTCGCTGAAGCACTTGGAAAGATTTACTTCCCAGTGGTCACCTACTTAGATCAAGCACTAAATCACTGCCTCTGTGGCTGGTGTTTGTTTAGGTGGCAGCAGTTGAGCTGGACCAGCCTCCCCGGCCCCTCCGTGTGTGTGGCCCGTCCGGGGCTGCAGCTGGATCCGCACACAATTCCCACTGTGCTCCACAGACATTGTTATTCCAGGGTCCTTCCCGACTCCCCAGGCACGGCTCCCAAAGGCAGAGCCACCTGTCCTGAGGGAGGTAAATCACAAACACGCCGGGATTTTCACCAAGTGCGTCGGAATTCTCACAAAAACACGTCGGGATTTTCACTGAACCCATCGGGATTTTCACCAAAGGCGTCGGGGTTTTTAAAGGCACAACTTCTTAGGCTCAGCTGCACATCCTGAGGCACAGCCAGAGCCAGTGTTTCTAAAGCTCAGACATCATTATCTCTCCCGACCAACATTTCAAGATAAACAAGTACTAAAACCCTTACGGACATTCCTTAAGATAAATTATTTTTCTTATTCTGTTACTTCTAAGCACTACAGGCACTACAAAACAAACATGTTACACTGTGCTCCCTGTAAATCAGACAGGAATTCTTCATGACTTGGGGAAGTTTTCCATCCATTCAAAACCCAAACCATCAGCACTCATCCATTACATAAACCTGACATACATCATATACATGTAATACACATCATTATTACAAACTGATGATTATAAACACTTTTTAAATTATATGAAGACTCATACAATTTGGTTTCATTCCATAGAAGCAGTGCAGGAGTAGGTGTAGCATCCTTTTCCAGTTCATGGAAGGAACCTTTTTGTTCATTAGCTGAACAACAGGTGAATCAAACACCTTGTTAAGTCATCAAATGGGCTACACTGGCAAAGCAGATAATTACAATGCATTTTTCATTCCAGTCCCTTTCAAAGCAAGGGACACGATGGGGCTGCCAGCAGTTCCTCCAGAAAACACCTGGGCAGTAAAACTATTTTCCATATCAGAAAGTATTTCCCAGTAATATACCCATGTTTTCCTTTGCTTAACATCACCCCACTATTTTTATTTGCACTCCTACAGACCAGCCAACACAGATTTGGCACATAATTAGATTTTATGGAAGCAGAGCTTTAGCAAGATGCTACAAAGAAGGTAAAACTTATTTCAAATACCACAGATAGGTGCAGCCATGAAAACAATAAACCAGGATGGCAAATCAGAGATTTGTCAGTCATTAGTCCCATGTGGGATGGAGAACCATGACAGAGCTCAGCTCTGGAAATTACTGGGCACAGGTGACTGCTGGTGATCAGCATCATGTTCAAGGCAGGTCCCATTAAAAATAATTAAAATAATTGAATTTGTATATATAAGCATGCCTGTATTTCTAAAAAATAAGGCAAGGCATGTTATTGATTTTCTAAGACTGCAAAACTTACTCTTAGGCACCCATATACCAATTTCATGAAAAGATTTTGCAATAACTTTTACTTACATGGATTAATAAGTATTTTATAGCCCAAAATGTAACAATGCATTTCAGAAGTTTTTGCTTTTTTTTTTACTAAAAAGTGTTAATTATTAAACTGATAATAGATAAGCACTGAGTTTAAGTCATGTTTAAGCTGCAGAGGAGTTTCTCTAGGGTTCCTCTGCACTAAATTTACATTTAGGTAAATTTACATATCAGCCCACTGGATGTACAGAGTCCAGGAATTAATTTCCTAATGTGGTGCTGAAAGAGAGAGATCACAAATACTTCCACAGGGAGTTTGAAAAACATTTGGAACATCATCTATGACACACCTGAAAGCTATTTCTAATACCTAATTCTATTCTTTAATTCTACATAATTGCTTTGGCAATTTTATTTGTAGGCATTAGCTTACTACAGAGGGAGAGGAAAAAAAAGTGCATTTTCACACAAGAAATCCTATCTTATCTAAAAACATTATTTCAACACCCAAAGTTTAAAGCATACAGAGGAATCGAGGTTCTTTGTATTTTCAATTTCTTTGGCCAGATTATTATTTTCCCAAATTGACATAAGGTTGTTTCCATACAAGTTAAATTTCTCATAAGCCTTAATTGATGGAAACGTGTATTAGATGACCCCACAAACACAGGGATGTTTTCATTTAATAAAAATACAGAATGTATTTAATCTGGCCTGTATGTAGAAAATGTGTGACACAGAGCAGAAACAAAAAAAAAAAAAAGGATCCTTAACCTTACTGCTCTCAATTTCTGACTACAGTTTGGTCCTAAACTTTCAACATCTTTGTGAACAATCAAACCGCTCACAAGGTTTAGGGTCAGTATGTTCTTGGGTAAATTCACAGAAATACTTGTAATGCAGACTGGTAGACTTACATGTCCTAACTTTTGGCTCCTCAAGAGCCAAACTCAGCTGAAATTTTCTATATTGCACAAGGAAAAGGGCAGGTAAAAGTATAAAACAAAAAAAGAAGTACAAACTGGGATATTCACCTTAAAAGTTAGCTTCTTCTTCAGAAAAGTTTTAACACAGCAAAGCACAACGTGAAATATCCAGAAGTATCTACAGATACAGATAATACTGGTTTCTTTCCTGTTTTAAGAGGGTCCTTTCCTTTGCAGCCAAGCAAGCAGCATGGAACCACTTTCCAATTTTCAATTTAATACAACAATTTCAGCCTCAGCTTGCAAAATATCTAAAGTAGTTAAAATCTTCATTTTAAAACTAGGTTTCAGCATTTGAAAATTATTTTGCCTGAATTTTATTTTTTCCTAATTTAGGTGAGTTGTACAGAGAGAGGATGAAGAAACAAGGAAAACAGAAGTGCACAGGAGGCTGCAATTTGAAAAGAGCAGCATCCATCCCAATGCACCCACTTTCTTTCTAGCTTGGCCCATGCAAGAGCTCACAACACTCATTCAATCTGGAGTGAGTATCACACATCTGATTTTAAAGGCCATAACAAAATACAAAAATGTATTTCATTCTCATTGTTAAACAGTTAAATTTAAACATTTATGTACTTACAGAGCCATCTTTCAGGTTCCTTTCATAGGAGAAGTGACAGGCCTTATTCTGCTCATCTCTTGAAATGACAAAGTTGTATTTGCCAGCTGACTCTTCTCCAGCTATCAGTGCTTTCCTCAGCTCTTCCACATATTTTTCTCTTTTCATTTCCATGTCATCAGCCTCCCTAGAAATGTCTGATTCAGACACTACCAGAAAAAGACATGTGAGGAATGAATATTCATATGTGTGGGAACAAATATGTGAATTATACATTACATACAAAGCATCTATTAATATACATTTATATATATAAAATACTGGTATATAAATATATAATATATTAAAATAGATATAATATCTTATATATTATTATATAAGATATAAGATATAATATTATAATATAATATAATAGACATTAAATTCTATATTATGTATAAATATATAAGATATAAATATAATTATATATTATATTACAGTATAAAATATATACAATATAGAATATATATTTGCTATGTATATAAATAGTGCACATATTATATATATACTTACTATATATATCTTAAAGTATATATATTTTTAATATACATAATTTAAAAAATATTTACATTAAAAAAAATATATATATATGTATGTATGTATGTATATACAGACAAACACTGACTAGATGACCTTTAAGGTCCCTTCCAACACAAAGCATTCTGTAATTCTGTGATCCAGTGAAATATTAGGAGATTATTTTTCCCTTGAACACACATTGGTATGTCATTTCCAGTTGTGGAAATGTAGCAGAAATACTGGGGTTTTCAGAAGTTCTGTCCCCTTTTCTCCCCATCTGAAAATTGATTATTTCCTTATTGCTACTGATCCAGATTTCTAGTTGCCTAAAGTCACCCAAAACAGTACAAAGTGAAATGTGTAATCCCTTGCAGCATGAGGCAAAAAGGAGTAGAAAAAGGTGAGTCTGAAATATTTATAAAGGAAAAAGTTGTCTGGAACAGTGATTGCAATACTGACAAGATAAACTTGTAATAACAGTAAGAAAGTCATAAAAAGAAAGACACTAAAATGCTGCAACAGAGCACTGTGGCTTTGTTGGTTTTTAGGTTTTTTTCCCTGTATATGCTGCATGTTCCTTTAGGATTTAAAACCAGCAGAACTGATCAATCACTAGGGAAATATGATATGCATAAATCCTCAGAGATGTATATCTTTAACCCAATACCAAGGTAACACACTGGATTACATTGCATATTTGTGTGCTTCTCCTCCCCTCCAACATCCACCGTTTTCCCTCTCTCCTTGAACAGGACTCCTAACACATTTCATCATCACATTAAACATACTAAACCCATAAAAGACAACTCCATCATCAACTCTCACTCTCTCCCTGGTAGGTCTTGCCAAGGAAAATAATCCACAGCATGAGAAACCCAAAAGGGATTTCCCACAGCAAGAATATTCCGACCGTTGCCTTCCCTCCCTTCAGGTTTTGAATTTAAAATGGAAGCAGTCTCAAAATTGATGTAATAACTCTATAAATTGACCAAAATGTTTTGTTGAATGAAAACACAGGTCAGTGCAGTAGGAAAGCCTCATGCACAGCAGCATCAACCCCCAATGACATTATTGAAGGGACTAGAAATTCAGTAAGAATTTTTTCAGAAAGGGATCAGATTCTTCCAGAACAGAAAAAAAGCTTTTCTCTGGATGAGCACCCAGTGCCCACAGCAGAACTACAGTGGGTTCCTTTCTTTCCTTTTTCATGAAGTGAGGTCATCCTGCTTTCTGTTTGGGGAAATCATTATCCTCCATTCTACCACATGCAGGAACTCAACAAAATGAGAACTGTGTCTACCTATTTTTTCTATGCACTCCCAGCTACAGTGGCACAGCCTTCACTTAAAAAAATAAGAATCATCATTTTGTGAAACTAAACTGGGATTTTGAAGTCACCTAAGGATGAGAAGATCCTTCAAACAGGAAAACTAGTATTTGTCAGTGTTAACACACTTTGTTTTCAAAATAACTTGACTTCACTCTTGTCAAGCCAAGAAAGAAAAACCTTTCACTACCAGGAATCAGGAATGGAATACTTGTATTTTTACATGTACATTTTTTTTACATGTACATTTGTGTAGGGATACCTGCTTGATGGAGTGTTTGAAATGTTAAAAGGAAAACGAAGAGCAGATTTAATTTGTGTGTTGATTTTAATTTACATTTATCTCATCTCAGACCTATATGAAAGCTTGGCTTGTGTAGGAACTGAGGAGGAACAACACCCACTGGATAAGGAAGGAAGAAAGGAACTACATAAATACATCTTGTAATTCAGACAAGGAGTCCAGAAAATGGTTTTGTCTACAATTTGCTCAAAATACATAATTCTCTCCTCCCTTTGAAATATTTTTGTTACTGAGAGAAGGGCTTTTGATCAAGTATTTGACATTTCTCAAGGACTTTTTCCACTGGGCATGAATGAGAGAATCATGCACATATGCAAAGACACATCCTCTTACTGAGGTTTGGGGAAAAAAATCCCACAGGCTAAGTTTTTCCTGCTGATAATTCATTGTCCCTTTTCCTTCCCAAAATTTCATTTCACCATGAAATATAGCTACCTTTGGGTATTTAAATTCCAGAAAAATATTTAAAAAACATCTTCAATTAAAGGTTTTATGGACTCCAGTTTGCAAGTGGAACTTTGCATACACATTTGTTTGAGAATCTGCAGAAGACACAGAAGTGTTACTTCAGCACCACTCCAAGAAATTATACATTCTTCAGAAAGTACAAGGATATGGAATGTTTTGTTCTGAATGAATTAGTTTTAGCTTTCACACACAACCTCTCCAATTTCAAAGTTCTGTGGCCCATCCCAGATCATGAACCCTACCTCCTCCATCACTGGGGACAAAATGTCCATGAAATTTCCATTAAAATTGTGGGACACAGCTTACAAAGTGTTTTAAAAGGACCAATGAAGAGCAGTAATAATTTAAATTAGTGCATTTTCCCTTCCATTACCTGTCCCAGTCCAGGCACACTGACAATCACTAAGAAGTAAACCAAAGCCAGTGCCTAAATCCTTTTCCCATGACACCTGTAGAAAATATGTAGCTTTTGGATCAGAAACTGGATGAATTCTGTTCAAGGTCTTCTCCATCTTCTTCTCCTACCTGTTTAAAAAGCAAGATAAACTTGTTATAACCACTAGGATGATTAACAGCTTTGCATAACTAGATTGGGAGTTATATGTGTGGGGAATATACAAATACAAGCGTACTTGCAATTTCATTCTACTCTCCTCCCCAAATTCATTTTGCCAGAGAACTGGTGATACTTTAAACAGGAAACTGGATTATAATAAGTAAGGTTTCAGTGCCAACAATTACACGTATCTGAATAGCCTCAAATTAAGAAGCTGTCAGGAAGCTGAGGGACAGGAAATTACTACAGTCAAGCTCTTCCCCATGGGTCTGTTTTTAACTCAGTCTGCTATCACCCACAGTACAGAATATTTAACATAATTCAAAATAATCAATATTCATCTGGAAGACTGCCATGTGAAAGCTGCTACTGAGCTTCACAGCAAAGCAGAGGGTGTAGCAAATGCCAGCAACCCAAAGGAAGTATCTTAAGCACTGGATTCTGCAGAGAACAAAATACATGATGTTACAGTGAATATTTTTGCTCTTTGGCAAAGCAACTTGGCAACCTGTGCTTGACCTAAGATCTTCTCAAGAATCCCATGTATTTATACACAACCTAAGTGAAGTGACTGAGAAAAGGCTACATGGTCACTCAGACTAAAAATAGCATGGTAAAGGAGGAAAAACCCAGATGAGGCATTTAAACTACATTTACTGAGTACAATGGTGCTTGGGCAGGGATTAAATGCTTTATGGAGGTTTCCATCTAAAGTGCAGCAGTAAATAATCATGACCAGGATCAGTTCAGGCCCTGAAGGGACTCTGCTTTCCAAGCAGGAGTAGAAGGAAGCTTTTCCTGTGCTCCTGGACATTGAGAAATAAATCTAGGTACAGATTTAACTACCTTGGCTTCCCCAAAAATTGGCATTCAGATTAGGAAGAGCAGGTTTAACTGTAATTGACTGAACTGTTCCTAATCCTTGCTCAACTCTGCATCCAATAACATTTCAAAATGCCTCTCCTTTGCCCAGACAAGTGGATAACATTCAAAACCAGCAAAATATATGAATTTAAGCACTAGTTTTCAAGCATAAAGCTTTAGTATTTACATCTCTAAACCACCACTGCATTTATTATTACCAATGTCATACTCCACCTTTCTATTCCCTGAAAATGCAACAGAAACTAAAACCTTACCAAAACATAAATTGAAAAATTAATCTCAGTTAAAAAAAAAAGTTTTCTAGTTCCATCACTAACCAGCTAGCCACTTCAGCAAATCTACAGCATGTATGTGCACCTGTAAGCAAGAACCAAAAAATTAAATATTTGGGGATGGACAGCTGGTACAATGCCTTTGCAATTAGTGACTCCAGAAATTAAGGCAATTTAAATATTTGTGGGGCACTAACTGCCTAGCCATGGGTCAGTCATGAGCACAGGGCAGGAAACACAAGCATCCTCAAGCATGTTATAAATAAAGTTGGCTTTCATACGCAAGTTAATGAAATGTTAATGATGTAATCTCATTTTAAATGGTTAATTAGTGCAATAGATTGTTATAATTCATGTAATAGGTTATGAAGTAATGGGTTGTAGAGTTGAATGTACTGTAATATGAATGTATGCCCACCAGAGAGGGGATGGTGAAGTCTGGGTGAGGGAATGTTCTAGAGGGTTACCTCATGTGATGACAACATTAATATGGACTGTGACTGGAAGACCAGCCAGCCAGTGGAGCCTCAGAATTCCAAAATATTGGCCAGAAATGCACCATCTTATGGACCAACCAAAACCTGGAAAAGGACCAATCAATGCATGGATTGAAAATGCACCAATCCTGCACCTTTAAGAGACTTTAAAAACCCTGGTGCTGAGCACTCAGTACTTAGATCCAGAGAAACACCTTGCTGTAAAAATATTGTTAGTGTTACTTCTGTCTTGTTGCATAGGTCTTAAGTTTACCTTGGGGCCTCGTCCTCTGTTCTTGCACTTAATAAACAGGCACTTCTTCTTTTCAAGATCATCAGCCTCCTTTAATTTCTTTTTGCCTGTTTACCACAAGCACACATGCATGCACTCTCCTTTGCCTGCCAGACTCCCTTTTGCTTCTTGTTAATTATGGAAAAACACAGCTTCTCCTGAAATATGTTCATAGAAGTCCTCCTCTGAAAGACAATGTTTTTAAAAGTATTTCAGTTAAAGACTGTAAAGCAGTAGCAGACAGCCCAGACAGACAGCACACAGGGTACTGATGTATACATGTGTAATTCAACAGGAAGGTTTTGCTTATGTGATTTTTATCACAAAGTAGAGCAGCATTCAGTGAAAAACACCTGCACTAGAGGCTTTCTTATCAAACCAGACTTTTTATAACAAAAAACAAAGCAAGAGAATTACATTTTCTATTTATAGAAGGATAAAGCGAATGAAGTGTCAGTCAGAAAAAGTGAGGTCAAGAGTAGCAGAGGAAAGAAGCCTGTTTATTTATTTAAAGATGCACTAACGAGGTCTCTGAGGACTGAGACTAAATTCATTTGATACAGAGATACTGGTTTCCCATGCACACATCAGTATTTCATTACAGTGATGTAGCACAGCTAAAAATGAAAGTTCTGTTTAGACAACACCATTGGTACCCCTGTGGTAAAACACAACCTCAACAGAATGAGGAGACACAACCAAGAATAACACCCTGAACATCGAAACAAATGGAAAATACAGTTTTCCTGCTTTTCCACGTTATTGTGCAGCTCTGAAAACAAGCATTTTCCAAGAATGCATAAAATGAAGATACTTTTTCTCCCACCTTTCCTCTCCTCCACAGTGCTCACTGGCCTTTTGAAAGGAGTATATTACTTATTACTCCACATTTAGGATCTGCAAGCAGAGCTCAGCCAGACTCCATCTCCAAAGCACTCAACCCTTCCAACCCATCAGCAAAAGCTCAAGGACTCCAGGCTGTATACAATGCCTATTATACACTCCTCTTCAAGAGGAGGGGAAAAAACACATTCATGAAAATTAGCCTGACCTACACAGCACAAAAAACCATCACTGCAAACAGTAATATTGTAGCTTACTGCTTTTTTGAAAGCAAAACAATTACAACAGCAAACAAAAAATCCAATTTTATGTCCTGAGAACACAGAGCTGACTGCAGTGTTCAGTAAATGGATAAACCACACACAGTTTAAGCATGAATACAGCAAAAATAGCAAAGGAGTTCCCTACTTATTTAACAAATACCAGTTACCACTAAAGAAATTAAAAATACAGACAATAAATGAGGGCATATTCCTTATTCATTCACTATAAGGTGACTGCATGCACTTCATTCATTCTAAAGGCAAATCTTAAATATTAATAACAGATGTCCAGCACTGTATTTTCGAAAAAAATGTACTGCTCTGTATTTCAAGAGATGAAATAAAACAATCTTCTGAAACTAACCTGTCCCAACACACCCACCTACTCACTAAAATCATCCCTCCATCAGCTTCCAATGTGTCAAGCTTATGTGACATTTCACAGTTCAAATACTTCTGCCAGCAAAAACATTTCATTATGAAAGAAAGACAAAATTATAAAGGAGAGGTGAAACCTTATTTTCACTTTCACATCTTTGGGGTAGAAAAGTAGGAACTGTGTAAATACACAGAAAGGTTAAAACAGCCCCCTGAATTTTTGGAGCATCACAATTTAACAGTCCAGCTGTTGGTGGAGCTTGTTAAAACAAAGTGAAATACAAGCATTGTGTAAAAGTAGACCATATTTTTACTGCTACCCAAATTAGTGGATCCAGCCTAAAAAGCCCCTCTGAGTCCACCAGACCAGAGGAGCACCCTCAAGTGCCATTCAGCATCCAGCCCCTGTGGGCTCTTCCCATTCACCACCTCCACAAAATGGGAGCACTCAGTTCTTTTCTTCCTTCCCTGGTTATGGCACAGCAGAGCTGCAGAGGAGTTTTGGGGTCACAGAAAGGCAGTGTTCCATCCCCGGGGGCCACAGCACCAGCCCCTCTCCACGCCAGGGCCAGCCTGCAGGTGGGGACAGCAGGGTCCCACCCCAAAAGTGTAAATCAGAGCCTTTATTGAGGCCTTTGAACAGTCGGGGATTGAGCTGTTTATCTTTAGCACTTTGTGCCCCTGGTCTTTGGCTCCTGTGATCACCATTAGGCAATGCTTCCCTCTGAGGAGGAATCAGCTGTTGGCTGGTGCCTCTGCCCTCGGAACAAACAGGGCACACAGGCCCTTCTGAATGAACAAGACACTCTTAAAATGGGCCCACAAAGAATTTTATATGTTGTTTTGGATAGCACCAGGCATAGACCAAAAGCCAAATCTTTCAGGCTGCTCCAACACAGCATCATCATTGATAATATTCTGAACTTCAGCACTTCATTTTTTCTTTTTTTTTTTTCCCTCATGCAGACTAATGGCTTTTTTTTGTTTTTGTTTTTTTTTTTCCCAAATTGGCTGGGCTGCAGGTGTTCCAAACCTCAGCAGCTATGCTTGGAAGGCTACTTACAGACCAGAAAGAGCTACTATGTCTTTGAAATGGAACAATTAACCTAAGTGCTTTCTTGCTGAGGAAAAATGGGAGCTATCCACAGGGAGCTCAGAATAGAAGACCACACACTGCTATTGAAGTTTGGTTCCTTCTGATACTGCCCAAACTACAGATCATAACCTAATAATCAGAAGAAAGGTAATAGTAAATTCATAATCAGAGAAGAGGTACTATTCAGGAGACGCTGCATATACTCATAAGTAGATAATTGGAGATTTAAACCAGTCAAGAAAAGCTCAAGATTGCTTTTAAAGATTAAAACTAGCTATTACCACATTTTCTAACAGAAGGAAATAAGATAATGCCTATATTTATGCATATTACCAGTGATATATTTCATACAAATTGATATTCTCTGGTGTTAATTTAAAATTCCATTAACTCCAATACTGCAGGAGTAAGAACACTAAAATACCTGACAAAAACCTCAACTCTCACTCCATTAATCTTAGAACTAATACTGATCCAAGAGGGACTTCCTCTTTTCTCATTCCTTTTTGCAGGAACACAACTGGGCCAACAGACATGAAGACAAATAACACAGCATCTTTCCTGTCCCATCTCACAATAATCCTCCCACTCCTCTGGCCACAGTACTTGTTTGACATTGAAGAATGATTCAATAATAACCTTCATGTGGAAGTTACAGATAAATCTGAGAGCCAAAGAAGAGGAAAAATTAGGAAGAACTTTGGTCCCTAATGCAATTTAGGGGGCTAAGACATTTTTGTATTACATGCACCCAAAGTAATATTTAGCTGCTATTTTGTTTAGCTTTACTCTGTACCAAAAGCACTCAGGTTACAATTTCGCCAGTCATGCAACTTTGTCTCAGAGATAAAAGAAATGAACCAAAAATTAGCACTTGGATGTGAGGAAGGGAGTGATTTTCTAACTTTTTGCAGAGGGGTAAGTGGGCCAGTTAAGAAATTCAGTCTCCATGGCAACATTTGATCAGGAGATCACGGGCACAGGCTCACATGGCTCACATTTGCCTTCCCACTGCTCCATGGCAGCCACAGAACGATTGGAAACATGCACATGCTTTTTGTGCAGTTGCATGTCCCCCCCGAAAAAAAAAGAGAAACCCCCAAACAAAAAAAAAACCAAAAACAAATTAGTTCTGAGCTTTTCAGGCTCCATGGGACAATAGGATATGGAAGATTTGCCACAGAAGATCTGGAATCTACGATAAGGAGCAACTCCTTGTCAGGCTTATTTACTACAGTCACCAGCTGAAAAATGAGGAGAAACAGAAGGAAGCAGACAGTCAACAACCTTTATAGCAGGAATCTTAACTAACAAGCCTTGATCTTAATTGTAGCCTGGAGGCAAAGCCCACCCTGGTGTCTTTCATCCCCTTGAAGTCTCAGGCCTAACCCACTACCCACTGCAGGCATCCAGCCTTGCCAAGCTCACTTACAACCATCTACATTAAGCTATAATAAGGTTAAAAAAAAAGGCCTTCAGTGTATTAAAATAAACACCAAAGTGGGCAATTATACTAGTATATACTAGCAAGTAAGGGAGTATGCAGACATTTATAAAAGGGGCAGACCCTTCTTTCTCACCCTTTTTGAAACAATTCTTCCCAAAACTAACAGCAAATCCAAGATGCACAGATAAGCCAGCTTACACTAACTGAATGTTACAAACCTGCAGGAAAAAAAAAATAAAATTAAGTCATGCAACTATCACGTTTCCTGTTGAAAAAATGAATTTTAGTAGAGAAGTTCTACTAAAAAGTGCATGTGGAAGGCAGCAAAGATCAAAGGCAACAGCCAGCCCAGCCTGCAGAGGATGGATCTGGGAGGAAAAGTCAGCAAGGCGTGTCTCAGAGACCCAGACTCCCTTTCTCTGCTGCTTCTGGAAGATGCAAGTCCCAGCAAATACTTTATAGCTCCAACTTGGCAGCAGGACACCCTGGCTTTCCAAGGTCCTACCAAAGCCAGTGGTGGCACAGTGCCTTCACTTGAAAACCACAGGATGCTTTTTAAGAAAAATAATTCACTTCCTCCTCAAAAAAAAATTAAAAAAAAAGGACACACATTCCAAATATATATCATTTTCCACATAATTTCTCTGAAAAGACAGCACTAAAATTGCTGTGCGTTTCGCAGATAAAAAACAGAAAGGAAGTTGTGCCAGACACAACCTTTGAGCCCAATGTATACAGTGAGTAAGAACAAAGATTTGGGAATTCCAAGTCTCTTACTCATATTTTTAAAAGCATCTCTGAAGTTTTCAGTACCTTAGTATCCTCCACTCGAGGATAGTAAAGCTGAGGGAATTTTTGGGGGGAGGAAAAACAAAAAAAAGCAGCATGTTTTAATTACCCTTTGTCCATCCAAAAATACCCCAATACATATGTGTTTTTGATGTCTATTTGGATAACAACGTAGTCTGGCTGAGGTATCATCTGTTTTCCAAAACACTGCCTTCTTTAGGATTAAATATTATCAGGATATTCAATACAAATCTGTCGCACAGATTTCCTTTGTTTTCTGTTTTTCAGTCCCCACACAGACCTATACAATTCCACTCAGTCTGATGTGTTTCTCTAAATCTCTGACTTAACATCACTGAGCAATGGATTCCACTAAAATATATATTTTTGCTATTCTTTCCCTTTTTTTCTTCTTTTTACAGTCAAATAAATTTAGTACTGTCAAATCCACAAGAGATCCACAGGCAAGAGCACCCAGTCTGACACAAAGATGAATGAAACAAAGAAATCAGTGTCAGGCAGATACAGATGTATGTAATTCTGTATATGTAGGATTTTCTGAGGAGTTTTGAAAAATTGAGCCCAGTAACCTGGAAAAACAAGTTTCACCTAATGTTGCCACTTCAGAGGGACAAGGGCAGGTATAAATATGAAGGCTTACATATCTTTTTCTCCTCCCACCTCTACACCCAAGACTTTTCAAAGAGATGGATTATTTTAATTTCCCGTCCCTGTCAAATTAATAATAAAAAATAGGCCTAGGCTCCAAATTGCTTTATCTTACTAAACAGTTTCCTCAGGCATTTTCTTTGAAGAAAATTCCTGCATTACCCAGTCTTCACTTAAAGTTTTATTACGTTTTTTCTTTCCATCTGCTATATATCTATTAGAAAATGCAACACTAAACTCCCCAAAAACAAAGAGCTCACATGGCTTACATTTATTAATTTAAAAACTGCAATTCATTTTGCTTCACCTGACCCTCAGAGAAAAATAATTCACAAGACAAGAACAATCCACAAAGAACTGAGACATTCACTTTCAATGCAGCTAAATTTCAATTTTGCAGCTCTTTATCCAGCTTTGTTTATTACTTGGCATTGAACATTAATTACTCTGCTGATGGAATAGGCTGAGTTTGAAGATAAGGCAAAAAGACATATATTGAGCACCAATTTCAGCTGCTTCCATGCATGGGCACAGGTTCAGCATGGGTTTAGCTCAGGCTTTGTGATAATCCACATCAGACAAACCAAAGCAGGGCAGAAGCAGCAGTCCCTATCACGACACGTGCCAAAATTTTAACAAGGAGGGGACGTGGGACACAAATCCCACAGCCTCACCAAGCTATGAGCAAACAAGTAGATTTGTTTAAAAAAAAATAAATTAAAAATAGATAAAATAAAAAAGGGCACAGTTCCACACAAAATTCACAAGCCACGCACTATGCACCCTCAACCAGCACTTACAAATCTACTGGTTTGTGCTACAAACCACATTTGGAAAGGGAAAAGGGCACAAAGAGCTTCACAGGGGTCAATTTTACTTTCAGCATCACAAGTTTTGTACATTAAAAACAAACAAAAAAAAATAAAGCCTCTCAAGACTCATCAGCTCACTGCTTTTCTAAGCAATTTTCATGACTCTTTCATTCTTTCATTCATGTGGGGTTTTTTGGGTGGATTTTTTTTTTCTTACTATGGACTGGGGAAAAAAAAAAAAAACAAAACCAATCCAGAACAACAAAACCCTACTCAAAATTTAACCCTTACCCAAGATACTTGATGCCAAGCAGGGGGTCTACTCTAGGAAAACAGCTTTTCACTATTAGTGCTCCCTTACAGCTCCTAAAGAATGCTTGCAGGGGCGTGAAAAGAAACCTGCAGGCTGAGATGAGGGCACAGCAGGGGCACACCAGTGCAAAAATGCCACTGGGACTTGAGCTGAGAGGGCAATTAAGAACTCATTAGCAAAAATACAGCACAGAACTGCTTTGGCACTGAACCAGTCAGACACAAGTCGGAGATCTTAACACTCAAATTGCAACAAAGCAGAGACGTGGAGCACCACAGAGGTCTCAGGGCGCTGTGTTGAGGATGTAAATTGTTGCTTTCCCAGGTAAGTTAATGACAACATAAAACATGGGGAGTGGGGCAGAGAAACAGCACAGAAGGGATAAATATTTTAAAAAACAAGTCTCAGTTTGTCTTGGGGGGCACCTCACCTTCGTGTTTCTGGCTCCCAACTGCAGCTGCACATCAGTGCCTGACACACAACAGTGAGCAAACACAATGGCCCTGAAACAGTGCAGGTATATGAGCATAAAAAACAGACTTTGGACACAGGAGTCACCTCCCCACAGCTCCAACAACCTGTTCCAGTGCAGTTTCAGACACAGAACCTGCCACTGCATCTTCCTCTCTTTCAGGGCTACAAATGCCCTCATTTATTTTGCACCCTCAAAAGTATCAAACTCAAAACATGAACCTCATATTGAGACTACATACTAAAAAATTCCTCCTCTACCTCTTTACTTCAAGAAAAGGAAAAAAAATCTGGTTTTAGGATACTCAGGCTGATAAAAAAAAATCCCTGCAACAGACAACACGAGTAAAAAATGTAAAATATAAGGCACATTCTTAATCTATAGACTTCTCTGACCAAGGCATAGGGGGAAAAAAAGCCCTTCCCTTTAATACTGCCTTCAGGAGATCACAAAACATTACTCAAGTACTGTCCAAGACACACAAGAATGCTAGTTCCCTGCCTCTTGCTTCCTAAAACAATTTTCCTCCATGTCAGCTTTCAGAGAAATTAACATTTCTGCCCCCTCTCCTGATCTGTGCCTGCTGCCTGCTGGACTCTAAAAATTAAGGTTAATTTTCACAGCTGGAGTAATTCAATATAAGCCTCCACAACAGAGTCTGATGCTTCCCTGCTTGGCTCAGCCAGCACAAATCTCTCCCCAGGATTTTGTGAGGTTTCACCCCAAGCCTGACAGGGCTGACAGCGTTTGGAAAGCCCCAGGCTCCCTCTATCCTGTCCAGCCTCTGTACTTTTCTGAAAAGGGTGGCCACTGAGACCCCTTTGTAGACCTGTAAACAAACAATCCCTTTCATAATTATTTGAATCATTTATTTAAAAAAAAAAAATCAAAAACACACACATTAAAAAAACCCAACAAATGCAGCCTGTGATAGGATATACAGCCTCACTCTTCCTCTGGCTGCATTAATTTTTCTGTCCCAAGACAGCAAGCAATTTGGCTGGTGTCTAGATCAAGGGCACAAAAGTTCTCAGTCTCTGCACTCTTAGAAGTCACATCTGATCAGTCTCCCTTTTTCTCTGTTTATTTTACAATCTGTGCTCTAGCTGTCTGCTCTGCTGGAGGACATCCCTTCCCAGAAAAGCCACCTAGCAGTCTGCAGAGCAGATGCAGAAATATTCCAATGCTTTTCCAAGCTTTGTAAATTCGGGCAAATTAATCAAAAAATGTTTTGTGCAATCACCAGTACACCTTAGAAAGCAGTAGCACCAGAGGCCCTTGCCCAAGGCACACACTTAATGATTTTTGTGTTGATCAGAGCTGACTGTGTTAGATTAGCAAACAACAGTAATTTGTTTAGCAATTATCTCCTAAATTTCACCTTAGCTTGTGTCAACACAGCACCATACATAATTCAGCAAGTCTTTTGTACCTTGACATATCTTGGACAGCAGTCCTTACCATTCACACTATCAGATACTATGTTCTATGAATAATATTCAAATTCAAGGGAGGTTTTTGCCACCTTTCCCTTTTTCCATCTCATACAGAGGAGAAGGATGTGGGGAAGACTGAGATCCACAAGACATTGATTACAAAGAGCAAGAGATAAAGGCCATTGTTTCCTAGCCCAGGAAAGAGACACAGCTCAAGTCAGGGATACAACTAGAAAAAATACTCATTTTGGTGGAAAAATAAGTGATTTCAAGAACCATTTAATGTTATTTTATGACAGCTGTCTAAACTGGAATCTTGGTTATTTAGTGATGTTGGTTCAGAATTTATGCACAATTTTATGCATTCCCCACAACATCAGCAAGCATTACATTTCTGCCAAATGTAACAGTGAGGAAATCACAGCTGCATCCTACTAACCTTGAAGAATCAGATAATGGTTTTGAGTCCTTGAAAATCTGACCCTCAGCTCTGGGTGGTTCCACTCACTCAAGGACGTGTGCTGCTTTTTCATCTGGGGCTCCCGAGCTCTAACATAAACCCTGAAAAACATTCTCCACCTCCTGCTAAGCCCTAGGTGACAAGAGTTAGGGATTAAAATTTCTCATCCTCAAGTGGCACTGCAAGATAACGAGGACATCAGAAACAGGCATTGAGACAAAACAGCAAGTGACCCTGCAAGGCCCACAGCACACACACACACAAATATTTGCTGTACCGCTTTAATGAAGCCAACACGCAGCATAGAAAACCACCTAAATTATCTCATCTCTACAGAAATGGATGGGTTTTGGTCAAAGCAGAGCATTGTAAGACATCCAGTGCTGCTGCTGTCTGTGTCAGAAAGGCACTGAGGTCACGCGTTCCAGGCACAGCATCACTACTTCTGCAGCAAGGCCACCTCACCCTGGGTGTTTTTACAATCTGGGGTACCTTGCTAAGTGATGGTGTGCCCTTTGCATCAGCCCATCAGTTGTAGACACATGAAATCTGCCACAAAAAGCAGAAATTTTAAGCTCCCGCTGCAGTAGGAACAGTCCCCACCACACATCACCCTGTGCAGTAACTTTGTATTAAACGTGTGGTTAAAATACCAGGCTAAAGCACCCCTGGCATGAAGAATGAGGTTCATTCCTGCTCAAACAGCTGCAAACTCCAAGCCTTTCACATCTATTGTGATCCATCCTACCACAGTGATTATCATGTGGACTTCTGGCAGGTGACAGAAATTAAGAGAAAGAGGGGTCAAACCTAAATTAGATGGAGGCTTGGTTTTTTTGGTTGTTGTTAGGTTTGTTTTTTGGAGTTTTTTTTTCCTTCAAAATGACATTAGCAAACAAAATACCACGCTCTAATTGCCACTGTCAGCACACAGAACACCATCCACCCAGGACAGGTTTGCCTGCAAAATGCACACCCCTCGTGTCCCACTGCCTCTTTACTCCAGACTGAGAGCAGAGCAAACCTGTAGCAGTAGCAAAAATGCAAATAAGTTTATAAGCATTCATGCCCTGTGTTTGAAGATCCTGGGAATGACAGATGTGGGCACGGCGTAGAAGGCAAAGAAAAGAAAAGCAGTATCAGCTTCTTGCCAGTCACTCAAAGCAGCATTTCTCAAAAAAACCCCCAACTGACTGCATTTATAGCTTATTTTTAAACGTTTTCTCCACCTCATATACACACATGGAAGTGTTAAGCACAGAAACTTATTTACATGGATGTACCTGTCATGTCAGTCACCCGCCTGTGATATTTTTAAAACCATTTCCTCCAACCCTCCTCCTCCTGAGGAAAGGTAAAAAACACACAGAAGATAAAAACCAAGGCTTCCACACGCAATTGTCAGCCTTGTGGTAATTCTTCCTGCATCTGGGAACAGCCTAGGAGTTAAACCTTTTTTACCTTTCATTACAGACACAAATTCCTTGGTGTGCTCTACTCCACTGAGCAGTGTGAAAACCTTTTCCTCAACACCAGGAAACACAGCCACGACCATGAGCACTGCTCTTAAGGGACCTAAGAGCAAAAAAAAACCACTATTCATCCTAAGCTTTTATTTAAATATCTGAATATTGCTATGTAGATCAATGCAGTTGTTTAAACTTATGATTTGCAATATGATTTTCAGCAGAAAGGTGTGCCCACCCAGCCCACTCCTGCAGACAACACCAACCAAGCTGTCCCAGCTCCTCAGAGCTGCTTTTCCATGCCAAGATATTAATTAGGAGGGGGAAAAAAACTGCAAGGGAAACTGGAACAACACCATCTGAAAGCTGATATTCCAGTCCCATATCCCAGAAGACACTTCCAGGCCAGGTGCACCAATATTTTCAATTATGCCACCAAGGGTCCCACAAAATCTTTAAATGGCATTTTTCCCACCACTCCAAATTGTCCAGCTGAAATCATTTTAATACAGCACACGATCAGTAAAATTTCCCTTTTGTGTTGGAAACCTCACCTGGAAATTAAATGTTTAGGGTAAACAAAGAGCATTTCTTGCAAAAATCTGCAATGGTTTTCAGGTGGGAGCTCGCCATAAACTATCAAAGTAGAAAAAAATGTAATAAATCTATCACAAAGGGGCATGTTTGCAAACTAAACCACACTAGAGGAAGCTAGATGACCACCTGAAAGCAGATTTGGCTATGCTGTGAACAAGGACTGACAGCTGGAGTCTCCTTGGACCTTACAGAGTATTTTCAATTTGGGTTTCTAATTCACACTGAGCATCCAGAAGTGAGTCCAAGCAGGAAAAACAACCCAGTTTTTGCTTTCTATCTCTGACAAGCACAAAAAAAGTTCAAAAGTATTATTGCCTTTCAAGTCTTGAGTCATGTTGACCATCAGAGGCTGTACTCAGTGATTACACTAACAACTTATTTCTGTTTAGAAACATACTTCAATGTAACAATCATTCAAACAGTTCAAATTGAAATATCCAAGGTAATGAGGCTATTTTTAGAATTGTCTTTGTGCACTTAATGATTGTTTTTTAATCAAAAACCTTGACCTGTGATGGGAAGAAACCAATCCAGTGAATTTAACTGAGTAACAGGAATAAGATGTGTGAATACGCTGTGAGAAAATGAGCACACAGCAAGATGCTGACTACCTGTTACACAGATGGATAAACCTGCAACTGAGAGAAACTTATTGGCACTAAACAATCTAGAGAAAAATCAGAACAAATCCAGGATCAACAGAGTGCCTGAAGTCCACAGGACAGAAAGTCACCCACCTCAAACTCCAAACCTGCTCACGCTGGTAACATCCCAGGTAAATTTTGGTGATTATGAGTCTGAAACCACAATTTCTCAGAGATGTGTCAATTCACAGTGACCAAAGGAAGGAAGCTGCCCTGCAGAGGACACAAACAGCATTTTAAGTGGGCTGTGTAGGTCTCACTCAGCTCAAACTCCTCTGCCTCAGTAAATCACTGCCTCAGTTCCACGGGATGAATCCATTTCATACATGAACATCAACCCCCAGCCTCCCACAGCAGCGGCACAAGGCAGGTAAAATGTTACCTAAAAATATCATTTTAGAGAGAGAAAAAAAACAAACTGTTTACCCTCATCGAAGGAAAAAGGAAAAACTGTCCCACACTCAGCAGACCAGCACGAATTTGGTGCTGAAACACAGAGAGTGACACAGACTCCAAGCCACCACCTTGGGAAGGGGTGATGCTTTTAAAACCACGTTTATAAGGATTCCTCACGACATTTCAGGTGTTTGCTATGACAGCAACACTGGGGCACCTGGACACAGAGTAACCACTGTGAAATTCTTCCAAGCTGGTGGCTCCTTCATTTTACTGAGCTCTCACAGCACCAAAGGTTACTCCGTAAAAAACAAACACACAAACAAAACAAAACAAAAAAAAACAAAAACAAACCACCAAAAATAAAAACTCAACCCAAAAAAAAAACCCAAACCAAAACAAAAAAAAATTACAAAAAAAAATTGGAAATTCTTGGGCAGGTGCAGCTACAGAAAAGATTGAGCAAAGCTCCAACAGAAATAAACATAGCACCTTAGCCAAGACAGAACAAACCAGGGGAAGACAGTCTGGGTTCCCCCTATACAACAACAGAAGTAACAGTAAGAGGGCCCTAATTAAATAATAGCCTCATTAAGGCATTCTTTACGTTATTAAGGCGTTCTTTACGATATTAACACTTCAGCAGCCAGCGGCTCACGCCTGAAGGGTGAGACAACAGCAGTGGGAGCCGAATAACAACGAAAAACTGAAAAAAACCAACAAAAAACACACACCAAACCAACCAAATTTTGCGGGGGTTTTTGTATGTTTTTGTTTGTTTGTGGGGTTTTTTTTCGGTTTCATTGCTATTGGTTTGGGGGGTTTTTTTGGGTTTCTCTTTTGTTTTTCTTTTTTTTTGCGTCTCACTGAAGACACGCGGGCCCCATGGCCCTCCGGTGAGGGGTCAGCGAGGGGCTGATCCCGGTTATCCCGGTTATCCCGGTGATCCCCTCATTGCGGCACAACCGGGGCTGCCCTCAATGCCGGTGAGGGGGTCATTAAATGACCGCTCGCGATGATCCCGGCTGTCCCCACACCGGGACGCGGTCGGGGCTGCCCTGTTTCCCCTCAGAGCCGGGGCGGGGTCGGTGCAGATCCCGGTGATCCCGGTGATCCCCACACCGGGACGCGGCGGCCGGAAGGTGATGTGGCGGAGCGCGGCGCGATGGTAAGCGCGGGCCCGGCGGCTCCGGACCGGGCCCTCCCCGCTCCCCTGCCTCCCTGCACCTCCCCTCGGCCCTGCACGGCGCCCAGCGGCGCCTCCCGGCCCACGGAGGCCGCTGGCGCCATGAGCCGCGGCCCGCGGGAGCGGAGCGGCCTCAAGGCCGCGGTGGGGGTAGCGCGGGGCGGGTTTGTGTGAGGGGTTTGGTGAGGGGGAAAGTACCCGGTTTGTGTCCCCCGAGGGGCGTCAGCAGCCGGGGCGAGGTCGGCGAGGTGTTGTGTGCGTCTCTGACGTCTTCCTGACGTCATTGCTGTGCTGCGTGACGTCATGGTGGTGGCGGGTGACGTCATGCGCAGAGCGCTGCGCTGGGCCGCGTGATTGGCTGCTTCTCAGGGGTGTCATCAGAGGCCCGGGGCCATTTACTCGTGAAAACTGTGGATTATATCTTAAACTACCTATTATACATACATATATGTATATATTATATTTATAAATATATATATATGTATGCATATGTGTATATATGTACATATATGTATACATATGTATATATGTATATAATGTTTATATATATGTCCCCTCCCCCCGCGCTCCCCTCAGTCCCGCCCGACCTACCTCCCGCGCCGCCGCTTCCGCCTGCTCCCCGCCAGCCAATCAGCGCCGCGTCCGCCCCTTCCGCCCCGCCCCGCGCCGGCCGCGCCGGCCAATCGCGGCGCCGCGCGTATGTGTGTATATATATATAAAATATGTATAAAATCTAAGATATGTATAATTTTATATATATAATTATGGCTAAAAATTATCTATAATATATATAATCAATTATATTATATATATAATTATATTATATATATGTATACGTATACAGATATATATTACCTTTTTCCTGTATTTTTAAAAGTCCATTCATTCACAACATGTGTCCTTCTTAAGATTGTAGAAGTCTTTATAACTTACCACATAAATACGAATTTTTAAGTTTATTTATGGTGTTGTATGCCTAAAAGACAGGTGAGTACATCAGGAGTAGAATATCTGTGCTTAAATACAAGTTGATTATGTGTGTAACAAATATATGCAGATACAAAGGTACTTATATATATATATATTTTATATATATATATATTTATGGATGTATACAAATATATAGTTGAATATTTTAATAATTATGTATTATGTATTAGCAATATATATTTTTCTATAACACGTAAAGATTGTGGTTAGATATATATATGTGTATCTATATATAGATATATATGTATAATATATGTGTATAAATATATATATTATATATCTATATACACATTCTTTATTTAGAGTTGATCTAGAAGGAAATTGGTTGGGGTTTTTTTTTTTTTTTTTTTTCCCCCCCCTTTTCGATCTAGAAGCAAATTGGTTGGGTTTTTTTTTTTTTGTTTCCTCCCCATTTTCCCAGTCTCCATGCAGGTAATACAAAATAAGGGTTTGCATTTCTCTCATTCTTAAAGCTGAGCAGTGAAATACTTTTTCTTAGTCAAGGTTTGTACATTAAATGTTTATTTATCAACAACGTTTATGTGAGCAGACTAATTAATTTAAATTAAAAGGAAAAACCAAAGGAATAACTGAATTAACATATATTTTTCCTGTACAAAGGATGCGTTTGTCCATAACTTCAGCTCAGAGTTTGTTTTAAGATGGAAATTCTTAGATTTTTCTAATAATCTGAATATAGTTTGGGTTGAAAGGGACCTTTAAAGATCACCTGGTCCCCCCTCACATGAGCATGGACAGATTATCCATCCTTGCTGTGCAGTTTAATGGAATATTGCTGTATTTCCTGTTTATTTACAGAAAATACCAACATCTCATGAAGTTTCCTTCAAAAAAGGGTTCCCAGTCTCCAGGAAATTGCTGGGAGTTGCTCACCTGAGCACTCCTTGGCAGATCTTCCAGGTGATCCTGCTCCAGTCTGGGGCTCCAGGCAGAAAACAAAGGAGATTTTTTATGATGAGAGGCATAAATTATCTCAGGAGATCTCAAACACAGAAAGCAAGAGCCATGGAAAGGGGAATATTCAGAATTACAGCAGCACCTCACTCTTGTTTATTGTAATTAAAAGGGTTTGAGGTGATAGAAAAAGGCAAGAGACCTTGGTGGGGCATTGGTGTTGCTCAGTGTAATGATTAAATACAACCAATTATTTAATATTATATCACTATGTCATGTATATTTTATGTATATTTTAGTGATATGCAAGAGATACATAACAGCAACTTAAAAACAAAGGTAATGTTTCAATCTAACAAGATTATGGCAAGTGTATGAGATTCTGTTGGGATTACCTTCTCTACTTTTTCCTGTTCCTTACTCTTACAAGGACCCTGAAGCAAAAAACTCTTGTAAAGATGGTTTGCTTTGATTTCATGTTAAAGATAAGGTGAAAATAACTATCCTCAGCCTTACTCAGATGTTTGAATTTCTTCAAGACAGCAGCAGCCCTCCAGGACTTTGGGTCCTCCATGATGCCACCTCTGGTGTCAAGGCATTTTAGGGAAAAAAAAGGATTTTTGAGCTCACATTTGACTGTGAAACTGTGTGTGTGTCATGAAATGGAAGAGATCAGAGCTACATCTCCAATTTATTCTCCTTGTCCAAAGAGTAGAACCTGCAGTTCAGGCTAGCTAGCTGCACTCTGAATATTCTATGATATTCTGAAGCATGATTTCCAAAGGACTTTATCCCTTGGAAACTTTTCATCCCATTGCTTTCCAGGCTTCCTTACCATGTCCTTCCTGGCTAAGCAGATGGGAACATGTGCTGGGTGAATGGCCAGCTGCTGCCATACAGGAAAAAAATTTAAATATATATATGTATATATATACATATATATGTAAGCTGACTTCTACCTGTCTTTTTTTTTTAATGTGAAAGCAGAAATTGTGGGATTTTTTTTTCCTCTTCACTACAAGTGGATATGGAAAAAATTCACCATTTTGACTTAGAGCAAAACCGTCACTATTTCAACTTAAAGCAGCTGTGGAAGCCAGTAGAAGCTTCTCAGTGGATTCCAAATTTGCTGGGAATGGAAGGGATGCACCAGGATGAACAGCTCCCTCACTTATTTAGGAGCAGAATGTTATATTGTTTGCTGACTTCCACAAGTCAGTTTGTCCTGCCAGCTTTTGGGATTTTACATCTAAAAGCTCAGCAGAAGTTTTCCTGGTGGGCTTGAAAAGTTTGTCACATGCATGGATGGAAAAAGGGACGAAGCCAAAGGTAACATTAAAATTAATGAGGAGCTTCTCACCTCCTGAAGGGTGGTGTTCACTTTTCTTCATAGCAGAAATGTGAAGTTGCACTCGGGCAGAATTTGGCGATGGAGATAATTTAAAAGAAGTGCAGAAAACTTGACAAAAACGTCTTCTTCCCTGTCACCCTCTGGTTGGGGCTGATCCTGGCCCCACATTACTACACAAAAAGTGATTTGGGAACTTTCCACGAGGACAAACATTTCTGTCAGGTCTTTGTTGCTCTCTTAGTGTGGTGTTTATAGAAGGAAGGGGAGTTGCTCATAGAGCCAATTGTAAAAACATTCATTAGTAAATATTATTTCAAACCAAGCTGTTGGATGTAAACATACCAGAGCCCAAGACACTGCTCTGAAAAAGGAGCTTTCAGGAGTCTTTAAGTGCAAAGTTTTGTCTTTGTCTTATTCAAAACTACAAGAATGAATCAATCCTCACTCAGATTTGCTAGCAGCTTTGTTTTTATCATGACCTAAAGATACATAGGTTTAAAAACATCTTCTAGGTTGTATTACAGTCTTAAAGTGTCTTTGTATTGAGAATTTATTTCACCTGAAGTGTTCTGTGTAGATACTTCTGTCATCTTAGAGAGGACAATGTGAAAGTACATTGTCAGTGTTTTATTTCTGTGATTATTGAACTGAGGAAATTATTCTGTCAAGGTAAGATGGTCTCTTTTTGGAAGAGTAGGATGATTTGAGTCTACTTCAACAGCTTTACCCAGAATGACACTGGTTGTGAGAAACCATTGCTTTGCTGAGTGCCATAAAAGAGTGAACATCACAATTTAGTTTTTTTTTGTTTGCCTGCAGTGTTAGACACCACACGCATTCATTCTAACAGCTGCAGCACTGAATATGTTTTTCTGCTAATGCACAGAGCCAGGCGTTCAAACTCAACAAAAGCTTTTGATTTTCAGCCTGGTGACTGTGGAAACAAGTTGGGAACAGCTGTGAAAAATATTACCTGTCTTCCAGATGCTAAATGTTCAAACCATGCACCCGAACCTCTGCCAAATAAGAGACTTGCAGAGGTGCTGTGGACCTGCCCAGGGACGTGACAGGCTTAGCAGAACTTGTCATTGTTCCTTAACTATGTATATTTTTGCCTGGTATTTGTTCTTCATGTTTGAAAGAGATGGTTTGACTATGAATGAACAAAAAAAAATTTTGGTAAATAGTATACATAAAATATTTTCAGTTGTTTCGTAGTTTTTAGGTAAATTAGAATATATCTTATTTTTTGAGAAGTTAGACTTTTTCCCATAGTCACATTCACATTCCTGTACCACCTTCTGTTGCAAACTCCTGATTTTTGCATGCTGCTTTTATTACAGTAAGGATATCACCTGATTCCAAGTGTGCTTTAGTATG